GGCTGCTGAAACTTTCCTCAGGTGCTGGAACTATCTCCAGGTGCTGGAACTATCTCCAGGTGCTGGAACTATCTCCAGGTGCTGGAACTATCTCCAGGTGCTGGAACTATCTCCAGGTGCTGGAACTATCTCCAGGTGCTGGAACTATCTCCAGGTGCTGGAACTATCTCCAGGTGCTGGAACTATCTCCAGGTGCTGGAACTATCTCCAGGTGCTGGAACTATCTCCAGGTGCTGGAACTATCTCCAGGTGCTGGAACTATCTCCATGTGCTGGAACTATCTCCAGGTGCTGGAACTATCTCCAGGTGCTGGAACTATCTCCAGGTGCTGGAACTATCTCCAGGTGCTGGAACTATCTCCAGGTGCTGGAACTATCTCCATGTGCTTTTTTTGTAGGGATATTCCTGGGCGGGCCCTAAGCCTCTGGCTGGCTCACTAAGTGTTGCTTGTTTCTCTTTTACTTGGGCGGATTATGAGTATTTATGACTCTTATGGTCGCTTCAGTAAAATTTTGTCCCATGTGTTTAACAACTTCTTCTGCTCTGTTGAATCTAAGCTGAAATCTTGATGGGTTTGTAACTGTGCACTGTGTTAGATAATGTTCCCGTTGTCTGTCGGGCATTTCTCTACAGTGCTGACATTTCCTCTCATCTTTCGGACCTGTAAGTCTATTTTCCATGTATATGGGTATCCAAGCCTGATGCGATGTAGGTGTACTTCTGTTGTTCTACTGTTCCCTTTCATCAAACTAAGTGGCTCGTAGTTGGTTGAATTCTTGTATCAACCAGCAGATCCTGATGTTGCAACTGCGAACAAGCCTGAATGGTCCCCAGGACTATATGCGACTGAAAACTCACACCGCAGGACTATATGCGACTGAGTTTTCAGTCGCATATAGTCCTGGGGACCATTCAGGCTTGTTCGCATTTGTGTTCCTCATGTGTGCCCCAAAGAATGAGGTGATTTGATAAAATGCTATGCCCATGATTACTATCCGAGTGCCGGCGGGGAAGTGGTTCAAATAGCTTCGGCTATCACTTCCTTTTGTCCGGTCGTGATGGTCAAGCGGATTAATTCGTCATGTAGATACCAGTTGCGTTGCTCCTGGCATATATATATATATATATATATATATAGAGAGATAGAGAGAGAGAGAGAGAGAGAGAGAGAGAGAGAGAGAGAGAGAGAGAGAGAGAGAGAGAGAGAGAGAGAGAGAGAGAGAGAGAGAGAGAGAGAGAGAGAGAGAGAGAGAGAGGTGGTACCCCCCCTATTATACATATTACATATATATATATATATATATATATATATATATATATATATATATATATATATATATATATATATATATATATATATATATATATTACAAGAAATCACAATGACATGATATATCAATGAAAATCCTTTTGAGGCAATGGAGTAACTCGAACTTGCGTTCTGGTGAATCCTAGACACCTGCCCTAACCTACTCGGCCATGATGATACAAGGGTCGAGCAATCCGGTTTGTCGACTGTAAAACCCTGGTTGGGCTCCGGTTTGGGGCATCCAGAACCCTCAGAGAACTTAGTAGAGTTCCGGGTTGGTGGACTTTTGTACCATTATAGCCGAGTCTGGGAATCACCAGCATGCGGGTTCTAGTCACTCCATTACCTCAAAATAATTTGCATATATTGGTATATTTTGGTAGCAGTCTTTCCTGTAGTCATGTATTATTGAATGTGACCGAAAGGGTGAGATCAATTATTCCAGCACAAATCATCTTTATTTCCCTTACATTTTCTTCACTTGGAAAGGAAGTTGAATAGTTTACTCTCCAAAGTTCATTTTTACAGTTTATTTTGCCTGATGCAAAGAGATGTGTTTCGTTAACTCTTGTTAACATTGTCAGAATGATTATAAATAGATTGATGAAGCTACCACAAGAGGTATCACGGGCAAGAGTTAGCCCGTAGGATTTAAAATTGATTGATGAAGAGACTAACCATCCTGTGTGATGGGGATGTACCTAATATTTTAATAAAAAAAAATAAGCCACTCAGGAGGTGGCACAGGCATGAATAGCCAGTAAACTTTGTAATTGTATTGCTGCATGGTATGTACCCGAGGATGAGGTGAAGGTGATAAGGTAAATGGGTTAAAGTGAAGAAGTACCTCACTTGTAGGTCCACAGTAACTTCTCACTCTGGTGTTGGCACGATGGCTGGTGTAGTATGCTGTGTGTTCCGGTGTGTTCTGGAAGTTGGGAGAGTGTAATGTGGTGGTAGTTGGCTAATGATGCGTGGCTTGAGTTGCTTTATATATAATGCCTCACCGATGTCCAGTCTCCTGTTGTCGCTGTATCTGTCGATTATTTGTGTGTTGTTTGTGTGTACGTCTCTGGTACACACAATGGTCTGGTTATGTATAAAGATTATATGTTCAATAATAGGTGCTTGTGCATTGTACTGTACGCTTACATTGCAAATACTGGAAGAAATATTCATAAAAGAAAAAGACCCACCCTAAATATACAGAGTAACAACTTGGATACCTTGCCTACGCTCAAATCCAGACCTCACCCTACAGCACCAGATAACGACACCTTTACCAAGTTCCCCGCCGCCCACCGCCTTACCCAGTGTTTGACTCATCCATCCCCATTATTCCCCCTGTTTCTTCACCTATGTGTGATTACTTCACAATGCCCCTGCCACACAACTTCACCCATTTCCCATGTGAATTTAAGATAAATTTGAATCTTGTATATTCATTCCTTATCTGATGATGTTCCAGAGTGTATACTGTATATATTGCTGTAACGTACTATTATGTTATGTTGTTGAGTAGGTTAGATACACAGTGTTAAGTGGGTTTTCATATTTATTTAGTAGTCTTGGATACAGCAGTGTCGTGGACGTTGAGACGAAGCTTGGAGCAGAGCAGAGAGGGGTCGCGGAGCTCTATGTGGGAGAGCGTTGTGGCTCGATGCGGTCCTAGTTTGCTGTCTGTTCTGTGTCGAAGCTGTAGCGTCTTGGGGTCGATTAGAACTGCATACGCCGAGTGCTACATTCTTGACTGTGGAAATTGTACTGTTGGCTATTCATTTTGTTGTTGTTATAGAGTCAGCTACTCGGAACAAGTTCCAAGTAGCACGGGCTATGGTGAGCCCGTAGTGGACTTACCTGGATAAGGAATAATTACCTAAGTGTAGTTACAGGATGAGAGCTACGCTCGTGGTGTCCCGTCTTCCCAGCACTCTTTGTCATATAACGCTTTGAAACTACTGACGGTCTTGGCCTCCACCACCTTCTCACCTAACTTGTTCCAACCGTCTTCCACTCTGTTTGCGAAAGTGAATTTTCTTATATTTCTTCGGCATCTGTGTTTAGCTAGTTTATATCTATGACCTCTTGTTCTTAAAGTTCCAGGTCTCAGGAAATCTTCCCTATCAATTTTAGCAATTCCTGTTACTATTTTGTATGTAGTGATCATATCACCTCTTTTTCTTCTGTCTTCTAGTTTTGTCATATTTAATGCCTCTAACCTCTCCTCATAGCTCTTGCCCTTCAGTTCTGGGAGCCACTTAGTAGCATGTCTTTGCACCTTTTCCAGTTTGTTGATGTGCTTCTTAAGATATGGGCACCACACAACCGCTGCATATTCTAGCTGCATATTCTAGGAGTGGTGCTGTGTGTGTGTCCGCTATTCGATTGATTGATGATTGATGAAGATTAAGCCACCCAAAAGGTGTCATGGGCATGAATAGCCCGTAAGTGGTGGCCCTTTTGACCCATTACCAGTATCATTAGCTGATACTGGAGATCTGTGGAGGTGCGACTGTACCCTGCGTGACGGGAGATGTCTCCCGTGTCCGATATTAATTGTTGTTGTTATAGATTCAGCTACTCGGAACAAGTTCCAAGTAGCACGGGCTATGGTGAGCCCGTAACTTACCTGGCACAGGAGCGGAGCAAGTAGCACGGGCTATGGTGAGCCCGTAGTGGACTTACCTGACACAGGAGCGGTGCTGAATGAATCTCTGCTATTCTGTTGTTGTTGTTATAGATTCAGCTACTCGGAACAAGCTCCAAGCAAGCACGGGCTATGGCGAGCCCGTAACTTACATGGCACAGGAGCGGGGCAAGTAGCACGGACTATGGCGAGCCCGTAACTTACCTGGCACAGGAGCGGGGCAAGTAGCACAGGCTATGGTTAGCCTGCTCTCCGCTATTCACTTCAAGCTTGCTTATATTCGGTGACTACACCTCAGCTTCCTCCAACCAGGATGGAAAGAATATTACCTGTAAATAGAAATAGGATTATAGCTTGTGTAATTAGTGCTAATTAGTTACGCCATTAAGGTAATGAGAGGCTGTAGTGAGTATATTGTTTATACTCGCTACACTGCTGACCATCCCCAGGATGCAACCCCAAAATAGTTGACTACCTCACGAGTACTGCTAGGTGAACAGCGGTATTATGTGAAAGGAATTGTCCCCAACGTATTAAATGATTTCCAAGAATCTAAATATCTTATCGCAGGCGATGAGGCAGCTACTGATAAAACATATGAGCTAAGTGTCTACCGCTATAGAAGGAAGCGCAGAAAGCACCATTTCACCCGCCGCCCGCTGTATGGGGTAGTCGTGTTGGGTGCATGCTATAGGCACATGAAAATTATGTTAATAATCCACCGCAAGTAATAAATTGTTTATAGCTTAACGGGCATTAACATGGGGTCGTATCTGAACCCAGTACTCTACCCAATACATCCTACCCAATGTACTCTACCCAATACACCCTACCCACCAAAGCCTTAAATATAAAAACACTGTTGCAACTGAAAATCCAGCTCAATAAAGTCATCAGGACAAAAGGGGGACCTTTGACAAGCCACTGGCTTCCTGACCTCTTCAGTGCCACACGAGAGATATCGGCGGTCAGGTAAATTTACGTAAATGCGACTATAATGTAAGTGGAGATGTTAGAATATGCATCTATAGGTTAAAATTTGAATAATCATAAGGAGAGAGCATTAAATTCTCCTGCTATCATCTTCACGCTATCATCTGGTGGTGCTCGTATCGCTGAGATAACCACATAATCTCTCAGTCATACTTCAAGTTTTGTTAAGTGTGGAGGCAGCGCATTCACCACCACCGCCATCATGTCCAGTAAGTGTGCTCATACACGTACATCATTGTAAAAACTCCAAAATGCAGAATAAATGATGATTCATGCTGAATATGTACCACTATAAGGCAAAATTAATGTTAGTGTTCGTTTTAATGTTTAGGGACGACCAAATGTTTTATGTAATATTTCCTCTGCCCCTTAATGTTCAGGGATGACCCAATATTTTAGCTAAACGTTCCCCTCTGCTCACTTCTTAGTGGTGACCCAAATGTACACACTGCCCCCTTCATAATAATAATAATAATAATAATAATAATAATAATAATAATAATAATAATAATAATAATAATAATAATGGAGAAACTTGCTACAATGATTAGTGCTTAAATTAAGGTGAATGAAAGACTCAATTTATGTTTGTGTATTAAAAACCAAAATTTTGGATGTAATCTACATCATTTCTCAAGGTACCGTATACAATATTCTGTATACAGATGTTGTTGTTGTTTGAGACACACCTACTCGGAACAAAAGTTACAACTAGCACGGGCTATGGTGAGCCCGTAGTTGACTTGTGCTGTACACAAAATGTTGTTGTCGTTATTGATTTAGGGGCAACGACGATCGTGGGATGGGATGCGCCCCGGTATACCTGTGAAGGGTTAATCGCGAAACCTAATGGCGAAATGAATGTCACTTATCAGCGGAAACTAATATGCCTCGCGGCCAATAAATGCACAGACAGGCAGATGATTGGGAAGCCCCAGGCATCCCTCAGGGTGACAAGCACGGCCCCGCCCCACACAGCTAACCCCCAGCTTTTTTGCGTTTTAGCTGGGGGGCCGAGTTTTTGGTTTTGCTACCCAGTTCTCTGTGTACTCAATTAGGTGAGTACACAGAGAACTGGGTAGCAAAACAAAAAACTCGGCCCACCAGTTAAAACGCAAAAGTTGTCCAGTGCCCTCCGGCATAGCAGAAGCCAGCCGCCCACCACGGCTGAGGCCACATCAGGAGCCCACTACGGCTGAGGGCACACCAGGAGCCAACCACGTCTGAGGGCACACCAGGAGCCCACCAAGACTCGCCAACTCTCGGCACTTCTCGGCCAAGCCGGCGGCGGACACCGTCACCCTGCCATAAGAACCAGCCGGAAAACGTTCAAAATCTATCAATTATGTTGTGACCCAAGGCGATATATGCGCCAGGAGTCGTAACAATCCTGAATGTTGAATAGGCATGCCAAACGGCAGTATCAAATCCAAAATCGCGAAACAGAACGTGATCTGGCAGCTCCCAGGCGGAGGTGTCCAGACGTCCGCTCGTCGTCAAGGTTGAACCAGGAATCCCTACAGAATGTTGTATACAGTACCTTGACAAAGGATATTTTTTTTTTTGTATAGTGTGAAGTGAAAATGATTCTGAGGACTTACAAAGGCCTACATGAACTCCACAAATGGTCATGAGACTGGCGAATGATTATTAATACTGAAAATACAATACCTGGTATATTTGCAAAACAATCCACGTCACAACTACCACATTAACAACATTACCTTGCAACAGATTGATGAAAAAAGGACCTGGGAGTCAGAATCAATCATTCACTGAAAGTTGCACAACAAGTGCGAGCGGCAGTAAAAAAAGCTAACCAAACCCTAGGACTAATCAAGGGTACCTTTACCTCTAAGGAAATGAAGGTAGTCATTCAATTGTACAAGTCTCTGGTGTGCCTCCACCTGGATTATTGCAACCAGGCATGGAGACCTCATCTTCAGAAAGACATAACTGCTCTGTAGAAAGTTCAACACCGGGCATCAAAAATAATTCCATAGCTAAGTCGGCTCTCATACCAGGACAGGTTGAGGGCTCCAGGACTAACAACACTGCAAACCAGGCATGACATCGAAATCGGATCTCATCGAAACGGTCAAAATACTGAGCAATTTGCAGGATGTTGATCCGGACAACGTCTTCTAAAGGTCATGAGTAACACAAACAAAGAGCAACGGTTTCAAGCTCAACAAGCCACAATGCAGGACTGAGAACATGAGATGCTTTTTCACCCACAGGGTTATAAACCCATGGAACTGCCTAACCGCCGAAGCCATAAATGGCAACAATCTTAAACTGTATACATACAGCTTGTGAAAGCCTTGGTCTTGTAATCAACGCTGCTAAAACTAAGGTATTTAACAGAAAAATTGGTATTCGCAATAGTGGACCCCAAAAACTAAAGATGGATAACATAACAATAGACTATGTCTTCTTTCAAACACCTTGGTGTTTCAGTCCCTTGTAACTTAACTGCAGTCAAAAAGTTACATCAACAATGTAGAGACATAATCAAGGCTCTCAGAACTGTAGTGGGGGAATACTCCTAATACGATGTTAATATTAAAATAGCAAAAAATGATGTACTTAGCATATTTAAGGTCTCTAATAAACTGTTATGCACCAGTTTTAGGACTGCAAAATGACAAAAGTATTAGTTGACTGGACAAAATGCAAAATGAAGCACTCAGATTTATACTTAGCTGTCCTATAACTAAAAAAGTTTTTAATATGCGGTAAGAACTAAATATACCCAGCATTCAAGATAAAATATTTAAAGTCAATTTTAAGATGGGACTAAAGCTTCTGCGTGATAAGAAAAGCAACATTGTGCCAGTTGAACTGTTAGAACACATACGCAATGAAAGTAGTGTTTTTAAATGAATTCAAAGAACATCCACTTATATTAAAATGATGGGAATTCACGATGTATGTAAAGATGAAAGAGTACAGCTCTTCCTTCCACCCTGGCAGTTAGTATATTTTGACATCCTGACGCCTGCATACCCCACCAAGAAACTATTCACACGCACAACCCTCATGGTCAGCTTGTTGCTATATTAAATACCCAAGAACACATACACAATCTATAAACTAACAACATCACACAGATCATATACACTGACGGATCACTCAATACAGCTACAGTGAGGGCGGGGAGTGTTGTTATTGTTCATCGGCCCGATGGAAGCACAATTGAAAAGGATATAATAGTCAGCAACAGGACAACCACCTTGCAAGTTTTTATATTTTTATTTTTACATGCAAGCATGCAATGAAATACAATAAATACAATAAAACAAAACAAGAAACATAATAACAAAGCAAAACAGAAAACCACCGGCAAGAAGGACCGACAACATAGCACAACAAGAAGCATAACTGGAGAAAACGCAAGAATATATATCAAGTCAAGAACATCACACAAAATATAATACAATGTAAACAAGCAAACATGCAATCAAAGAATGACAAGAAAAACAAAACATAGTAACATATGAAACAAAGCAAACAGAAGCACCAGCCGGAAGGACCGACAACAAAGCACATCATGAAGTACAACATGAAATATAACACAAGAAAACCATAACATACAAACAAGCCATAGGCAAAATATAACACACAGGGCATACTTTCCAGAAGACAGCGTGTGCATCCGCACACTAACAGCTATGCCAAACCGCTGGAAGAAACGCCGGAGGAGGGTCTCAGGAAACTCCATGGGGCCCCATGGACACTCACATATGTCATGGCACCGCTACGATCCGAAACGGACACAGATCCGGTGCCATCCTGCAGCTGCAAGGTACGCCCCTCATACCGTCGGAGAAAGTCACGATACGCCGCCTCGCCCACAAACTTGATGACCACCCGGTGAGCAGTTACCAGCTCAACACCGTAGATTTTCATGACCGGGATATGGAGCATGTCACACATGACCATCTCCACGACAGGGTATCCCGCACGGCCAGTAAACTCCAAACCCACGGAGTTTACCCTCACAACAGGGGGAAGATGGCCGCCCATCGCACAAGCGCCACGTCCACACCAACCCATCACCTTGCAAGTTGAACTGATAGCACTCAAAATTATTAACAACACTAGTAGGCAGCTTATTTATTTCAGACTCCCTTTCATCACTACTAGTATTAAATAGCTTACAATCAAATAATAACGTGCTTGTCTCCAAAACCAGACATACATATACAAGCATACCTAATAAGAAGGTAAACATCAAATTGTTTGGGATTCCCTTTCACTTTGACCTGCAGGAATATGATAAAGTTGACGCCCTTGCTATGACTGCAGTAAATAAAGACAATGCTGAACGGAATCTTGAGTTTCAAATAGGTCCCCTATTTGTGTCAAGTAAAACCTATTTGTGTCAAGAAATGTGTCACACGTAAAACATGTGTATGGGGCAAGTAACAACATCAGCAGACTAACAGACGTTGTCATAGCTCGCAAAAAACTTGGCTACAGGTATCTCTGGCAGTTGGGCTTGTATAGTGATCTAGATGAAGTAAAGCGCAAAGTGTGTGGACAGAGACAAGGACACACACTAGAACATTATATAAGACTGTTATAAATTGGAGCCATTTAGAGATAAATCTAAACTCACGCTGTATGAAATGGCAATCCTTGGACTTTATCCATATTTCGCTTCTAGTATATAAATGATGAGCTTAAGAAGGAAGTGGTGTATATTGAAGACCAATAATAATAAACAGCAGCTCCTCTATGACCCTGTAATATTTACATAACTCAAACAATTTTATATTAGCGAAAAGAATGTATAATGATTAACTGTAAATATATAGCTATTGAAATGGAACAATCTGTAATTAGCTGACATTATAATTATAAGGTGTGAAGGATAGATGTAATTGTTAATGTAATAATTTCCGCCGAGGTATGATAAAAACATTTTGTGCCCTCTGTAATCCCTTTTTGCGCTACCGCTCACAGGATGAGTATGGGGTGCACGATAAGCTTGCAGCCTCCGGTGGCAGCAATAAAAATATGTTAAAATTTAGAATCCAGCTGGAAAAAATAATCAAAACAAATGGGTGGACCTTTGACATGCCGCCGGCTTCCTGTCCTCATCGAGGACACTAGTGTTAAGAGTCCTCACGTAAACTCAGGCAAACTTTACTATGAATCTTTGTGTCACCTTTAAATTTGATTATGTGGTTTGTAATATCCTCATCTGTGTGTTATTGATGAATATGACAAAAAGGGTTGGCCCTTAAATGGGCCCCTGAGGTACCCCACTCACCACAATTTTCCAGTCAGAGTCATTCCCATTTAGCACGACTCTTTGTTTTCTTTGTTTTAACCATTGTTTTATCCATTCTAGTATTCTACTATTAATTCCATGTGCCTTTAATCTTCTTACTAGTCTTTCATGTGGTACCTTGTCAAAAGCTTTAGCTAAGTCTACACCAAACAAAAGTTCTTTAATTTTATAATAATTATTCGATTCAGTCATTGTGTCGGGGGGACAAGCAGACAGTTTATGCATACAGTAAATGTTAGGCTTATATCGAGGTCCCTCGATCATACCCCTTAGGGTCGAATTACTGACCCTCCGCAGGATGCAACCCCACAACAAGCTGAGTAATTCCTATGTACCTATTTGTGGGACATTTGGGGCTTGACTCTATTTGTTTAATTATTAAAGTAATGAAATCAATTACGAAGGACCACCCGCTTTTATAGTAAAGAGGGAAACTAATAAAAAGTGATGATTAGAAATTCCTAGAAGAACCAGTATCTATGGATAAATATTAGGAAATATAATCACTTAAGTAATTAATGGGCTGTATAAAGAAATTACTTGAATCAAAGCCTCAAACACCTACATTGGGGGGTTATTGCTAGAACTTCATATATGTCTAGGAACTAGTGTGGTTCGTACACCAGTTCATTGTGTAATAACCTAATCTTATGACCAATTAAAGAATCAATAGAAAATTTATCACCAGTAAATATATATATATCAGTAACATCAGAAATTAATCATTATAATAAACACGTATTATCTCCAGTGTACATAGTATTCCATTAAATGATAAATAAATAATGAGAATTTGACTAATTAAGAAAATACGAAAAGTCTTAGCTTGAAGACGATTTCAAAGACATCAGTTACGAATCATCCTCGGGTTCTCCGGAATTCCTCGTAGAACACTGGGAGATGAATAACAAGGGTAAGGTAACAGCTCGTGGATTCCTCACACGCGAGCTGTAATTTAAGGGATATTACGTAGCAATGTATTAGGCTACTAAAATATCTATATTCATGGAAATGGAAAATAAATTATTTAGAATACTAACATGGGTTTTGTTTAAGTTGCTCGATGTAACGACAAGCTACCCTGCCTTATACAATCTCTAATGATGCATCAAAAGGGAGTTATATATACTTAGCTAAAAGGGTACTGATTAAGTTGAGACTTGCCGAACCCGCGTCACAAGCTCCACTCTCACAATGGCGAACACGTGGTTGATAGCTTGGCTTGAATGTCAACGCGTTTATCTGGCCGGTCACGACAGATCACGTAGAACAAATTAACTAGTTCTTTGGTGAGTATCAGGTTAAATCTTGCTGACAAATTCACCGTAACGTGTCCTAGACTCTGACACCAAAACAAGTTGCTCAATTCCGCAACAAGTAACTTCACGCCGCACGCTGGCGACTTCTCCTCCTCGAGCAGCCGTTGCCACACACACAATGGCGTCTCCCTCTCCCCGGCGTCTCGCATTCGCCACAGAAATTATTTATCACGAATAATATTATTTCGTGCAGTTGTGGCTAAAATGCTTTAATAAAGACTGGGTTGTAATTCTAGGGAATTAAATATTATTACTTTCTCGTCTTATGGTGGTAAACAAAAAATGGAGAAGATTTTAGTTTTCTCCATGGCATTCACGCGTGACGGTAAATTTATTACTTGATAACAATTGTAACTAAAAACTCTCGATTTGGAATTATTTGGGAGTTATGTTATCCGTAAATAATTATCACACGGAATACTGATGATTTTAGAGAAACACATTCAATTCTCTAACACACTGGATATAAATGTGTTTAACTAGGTACAATCTGACGCAATACTGGAGCTTGGTTTCGTAAGAATTCCAGCATCCTTATACAGATATAATAATTAGTTCATGTGAACCCTACTGTTAGTAAATTTTTAGTAACTACAGTAATTAGTATATTTTAACACTAGTTTATAATAATAATACAATAATATTGTATTAGTGTTGGAAATTTCCAACACTATTTACTGTTAGGTAGACAGGGGCATTAGGTGATAGTGTTGTAATCCACAAGTTAGGAGTGAATATTAGCTAGTGAATCAAGCACAACACTTAACATGTACTTCCCTACTGAAGTACGTGCCCTCCCATTTGTCCCACCCAGTATTCGAACCCGGAATTCTCGATTGTGAGTCGAAAACGATACCCGACTGTACTACCGAGGCACTAAAACATTGTTTGAATAGGTGGTTATTTATATGCATTATAAAATATAAAAGTCAGCAGCCACACCAGTGGTAGAGATGGCATTCGTGCCCTAATGAAAGTGTGTCTCATTACAATACTGACACTGTTCTACCCCTGCAGGCCTCAAGCTCATACCATGCCGGGCGGGGTCCCAGTGCCCCTCCCCTGTGACTGTGTCGGGAGGAGCCCCAGCCTCCACGCCCCTGGTGGCAGCAGCAAGACACAATGGTGGCATCATACCCGGGGTGGTCATGCCCAGCTCCACTGCCTGCCACATACCCTGGGGCGGCCAAGCCATTGCCAAAACCGAGTATTTTGTAAGTAACATTCACTCACCCTGTCCACTTGTTCACCTCTTTTCATCATGGTCCAGACGGTATAGTGCGTGTGCCTAAGTTCAGGGATGATAGTTCGAATCCTATTGTACGTATAAACGGGGGCTTATACAGTTAACATGTTAGTCAAACCACGAGATCTTTCTCTTAACTTTTCCTGGCTAAGTTTACCTCCATCATCATGACATATATTAGAGCGCTATTTTTTCTCATCACCAGTAAGGTGCAAAGGACCTTAAATATGCACACGCCTCATTGAACAACAAATGGCACTTATCATGAATTGCGGAACTAGGGTTTTCTGATATGCAGCTAAAGCCAAGAGCAAGATTATTGTCTATAATATACTATACATGGACAAAAAATCATTCAATGCAAACAATTTATCTATTTATTTTTATATATATTTATTTATATTTATTTTTATTTATTTATTTATTTATTTATTTATTTACTTATTCATTTACAAGAAGGTACAATGGGTTTGTGAGAGTACACAACATTGGTGTATTTACATTCTTGCAAAGTCACTAACACGCATAGCGTTTCGGGCAGGTCCTAAATTTAGCAGATAAGATAAAATGAATAGGTACATGGATCAAAATTTTATGTCAACATATAACAACAATATAAACTGACGGAGATGATAACGCTGGTAACATGAATGTCTTAAGTACTAATATTGGGGAAGTGGGAAGTATAAGATACAGTGTGAGTTTTAAGCTCAAGGTAGGAAACTATGAGGATGAAATTATATACTTTTTGTTTTATTTCAGAATAAGGTAAAGGCCAGACAATTTTTTAACTCAATTGGGAGTGAGTTCTGGGTCCTCTTATTTGCATGGAGTGTTTGCACAGATTTAATTTGACTCTGGGGGATATCAAAGATATTTATTTCTGGTGTGATGCTCATGGGTTCTACTACACCTATAAAGGAAGAGTTTCAGATCAGGATTAGCATTTAGTATCAAGATTTTGTACGTGTAAATAGCATAAGAGAATGTGTGGAGTGAGTGTATGTTTAACATGTTAAGGGACTTAAACAGAAAGGCTGTGTGTTGTCTGAAGACAGAGTTAGTTATAGTTCTGAAAGCAGATTTTTGCTGCGTGATGATGGACTAGAGGTAAATTGCAGTGATTGAACCCCATGCACAGATACCGTATGTAAGATAAAGATAGATTAGTGAGTAGTATAATGAGAAGAGTGCAGAATGGGGAACATAATATCTGATTTTAGAGAGTATACTGACAATAAATAATAAATATATATTATAACTGCTGGCGGTAGAATTCTCACTGTTTTTTAGTCTGGTGTTTCCTGCCTCTGTGTTCATAGAGTATGGCTAGCATAACCAGCATGGCTAAAATGACTAGCATGGCTAGCATGGCAAGCATAGCCAGCATGGCTAGCATAGCCAGCATGGCTAGCATAATCAGCATAGCTAGCACGGCCAGCATGGCTTGCATGACTAGCATACCTAGAATAGCCAGCATGGCTAGCGTAGCCAGCATTGCTAGCATGGCTAGCATGGCAAGCATAAGCAGCATGGCTAGCATGGCAAGCATAAGCAGCATGGCTAGCATAGCCAGCATGACTAGCATGACCAGCATTGCTATCATGACCTGGATGGCTAGCATGGCCAGCATGACTAGCATGGCCAGCATGGCTAGCATGGCTATCATGACCTGGATGGCTAGCATGGCTAACATGACCTGGATGGCTAGCATGGCCAGCATGACTAGCATGGCCAGCATGGCTAGCATGGCTATCATGACCTGGATGGCTAGCATGGCTAACATGACCTGGATGGCTAGCATGGCCAGCATGACTAGCATGGCCAGCATGGCTAGCATGGCTATCATGACCTGGATGGCTAGCATTGCTATCATGACCTGGATGGCTAGCATGGCTAACATGACCTGGATGGCCAGCATGGCCAGCATGGCCAGCATGACTAGCATGGCTAGCATGGCTATCATGACCTGGATGGCTAGCATGGCTATCATGACCTGGATGGCTAGCATGGCCAGCATGACTAGCATGGCCAGCATGACTAGCATGGCCATCATGGCTATCATGACCTGGATGGCTAGCATGGCTAATATGTCAAGCAATGTCTCTAGGCAGGTAATGCACAGCAAACCTCCTCTCTCTCTTCTCTCACCTATCTGTTCCCATGTATGGCTATGGCCCACATCATGAAGCAGATTTGTTAAGAGGTAAAAACGTAATGTTTTGAGTGGAGCACAGAAGAGGAAGAGAGCTGCAGAGGAGAAGGAGAAAATAGGAAAAACTCCAAAATTAAAAACGTGACTCAACACAGGTCCAACGACAGTCACTCATACCATTCCTTCAGATATAGCATCCACTTCATCATCCACTCCTGCAATGTCAGCCACTTGTACTGTTCCTTCAGATATAGCATCCACATCTTCATCCATTTCTGCTACCAATCAACCATTTTCAGCACACATGCCACCATTGCCAGTTGCTGCTGCTGGTGACATTTTACAAGAAGAAATACCCAAATCTGTAACAGTAAAGGAGTTTGCAATCCAAGAGACAGATCCGAGGCTACGGAACATTAGTAGTACTACAACAATAAGATTACTGGATTCGTAGTGGGCTCTCATCATATCAGAATCATGATAGCAACTTTTCAAACTCACGCAGAGTGTATACAACAGCTGGAGTAGAGAATATAAAGGCGTTTATCAAGAAACGCCTTGTGTTTATCAAAGTACTTGGTGTTTATCAAACAATGTGTTCAAACGTGAACTGCGGGATGGCGAGTATGTGAAACGTGAATGGCTACTCTATTCACCATCCCAAGGTCGTTAGTACTGCTTTGTATGTCGCCTATTGTCCAAGGAAAGAATCTCCCTTTTGCTCCAGTGGGGGTTCAATGACTGGAAGCACAGCAATGTTATTGTATAGGATGAAATTGGAGAACATCGAAAATGTATTGCAACATATTTGATAAGATATGAAGAAACTAGAAGTGTAGATTATTACGTGAGCAACATCGCTCAGAGCAGGAATATTGGCATAAAGTGTTGACACGTGTGGTTTCTGTAATTTGCTTTCTTGCCTCTAGAGGTTTGCCATTTCGTAGAGAAAATCAGATTATTGGGTCAGCAAAAATTCGCAACTATTTAAGTATACTAGAGCTACTGAGTGAATCTGACCCTTTCTTGGATGAACATTTAAAAATGTATGGATATCCTAAAAAGGGGAATCCGTCATATTTATCTGCAAATATGTTTGATGAATTTATTGAATTAATGGGACAACAGGTTCTTTGTACTATTCATGAAGAAGTAAAAAGATTCAAAGTATTATTTAATAAGAGTAGATTCCACTCCAGACATCTCACACACAGATAAATTGACATTTACTGTCCGATATATGCCTGTGGAACGTTAGCGAGCCTGTGGAACGTTTGTGAGCCTGTGGAACGTTTCTTGATGTTCATCCCCATCTTTTCTCATGGAGCAAAGGATCTAACAGACACTGTCGAAGATTTTCTTAATGAGGACAAAATTCCTCTATCAAACTGCCGTGGTCAGTCATACAATTATGCCTCAAATATGTCTGGACGATATATTGGATTGCAAGCACGGATTCATCAACTCAATGAGTGTGCCATCTATGTCCCCTGTGCTTGACACAGCCTGAACTTTGTGGCAGTAAAGGCACCAGAGGATTGTCTAGACTCAAATTCTTTGACCTTCTTCAGCATCTGTATTGACATCATCTTTAGGAAAAGATTTTGTGGTCAAGCGTCTGTCTGACTTACGATGGTCAGCACATTTTGATGCTGTTCATGCTCTGTACGGGGGGTCGAGAAAATAAAACATGCACTGGATTCTCTATCATCTGTCAATGAACAGCAAGTGAATACAAGGTGAGAGGCAGAAAGATTGATAAAAAAATGGAAAACGTGGAAACAATCGTTCTCACAATTCTTTGGAATGACAAGCTAGAAAGAATGAACAAAACAAACAAGGTCCTACAATCACAGGATGTGGACATAATTGTTGCCACGAATCTTCTTGAGTCTATGAAAACTTATCTTCAGGAAACTAGAGACAAATTTAGTGAATATGAATTCAAAGTCAGGAGTATGTGTCCAGATACAGATTACATTGATGGGAAAAACGGGAACGAAAACAAAGTGTGCTTCTTAGTAGATATGATAGATCAGCAGAAGAGGTTCCTTTCATTAAAACCGAAAAATTCAAGGTGGAAACTTTCCTCCCTATTCTGGACACTCTAATCTTTGAACTGACAAAAAGTGCAGGGGCTTATTCACAGATTGGAAATCCGTTTTCATTCTTCAGTGAATTGAAAACCATTGCTTCTGGTGCACTAAAGAAAAAGTGTAAACATCTGGCTAATAAGTATCACAAAGACCTGAATTATGATGACCTTTTAAATGAATGTGAACATCTCAAGCACTACATGTCTCTTGACGAAAATTGTGAGACTTTCCCTGAATTGTACAGAAAATTAATTTCCAACCATTTAAAATCTGCATTCTCGAATGTTGAAATTGCACTCAGTGTTCATGTGCATGATGGTGACCAACTGTACAGGAGAACGTTCATTTTCAAAACTGAAGCATAACAAAAATCTGCTTCGTAGCACAATGGTGCAGCATCGTTTGAACTGATTTTCACTCATGTTCATGGAAAATTACATCCTGAAGACCATTGACTTCAAGCCAATAATAAAGCAATTATCTGAAAATAAATACCGCGAATGCTTTCTATAATAAGTTCGTAGTAATTTCATACTATGCCATCTAATCTGTGTAGCTTACCCCAGGTAAATAAATAATTCAAGACCAATATCAAATCAGTAGTGGAAATGGCCCCAAGTCACGACCGTTTTGTTTTTTTCGGGGGTCGTGACTTGGCGCACCTGTTTTAGTTACAATGTTGAGGGGTCGTGACTTGGCGCACCTGTTTTTAGTTAC